ATGTATGTATGTATGTATGTATGTATGTATGTATGTATGTATGTATGTATGTATGTACGTACGTACGTACGTATGTACGTATGTACGTACTTACATACGTACGTACGTATGTTATATTTGTGCTGATAAATAAATAAAGGGAGACTAGTATAGATCTATTTCAAGCTATTTAGCTCTCATCAGCTAGCCATACCTTTACTGGGATTTGAACCTAGGCTATATTGCACACTAGGCAATCTTATATATATATATTTTTACAACCCCTGGTAAGCCCCAATTATGAGAGAGCTGGGTCCCTAGAGAGTTTGGAGCAAACAGGTATTAATTATGAGACCAGGTTTAAATCTGCTGCCAATAAATACAAGTCACATTTCAAATCTCAGCAAATTAACTGATTTATTAAGGGACACCTCCTAGCCATTTTAATCTTAGTTACCTGGCTGGGCAACAACTCAGTAGCACTTCCTGTGCACAATATATGGTCCATACTCTTGGTATTGTTCCTTTGTGATCCAACATGATTGGAAGTTTTTCAAGGAAGCAAGAACTGAACCTCCAGTCCAGACAGAATAGTGCCTAATTGGAACAGCTGTGACTTTGATTTTTGTGCTAGTTTCCAAATTAGTCATGATATCTTGAGTAAATCTCCTTTCGAATCCTTCAAAAAGTGATGAACCTCCGCATAATATTATATTTTTATACATTCCTTTTCTGACTTGTTCAGGAACTTTCATTAAACTCTTTTGGGCCATGCCAGGGATGCCTAGAAGAGCAAGTCCAGGCATTTGTGATGGATTAAACAACATCTCAGGGCACTGGAATCTCTCCTTCCCCAAAGTAATTATTTGGCCATCTGGCAATTGGTATTGCACTGTATTGTCTTCCTCAAGACAGTTCCACTCAGTCTCAAAATCAAATGCAACATAACAGCATTTTTGTTTGATATCTTCAATCACATCCAACATTTTTTCATCTAAGTAGTGTCCCGTGCTTTTGAGGAGATCCATCAAAAAAGATGTCACATTGGCTCCAGCAATGTCCATCTTTTCTATGGCATCTGGCAAATTGTACCCTTGATGGACTGGCACAATGTGTGTCACAGCATGGCCTGTATCTACTACCAACCCACTAATTTTTCCATGAGCATACACTGACAGTACCGACTGATATGCCACATACACTTTGGGGAAATTGAGGGACTCAAAAAGAACCTCCACCAATTTCTCTCTGTTTGTAGTTGGTGAAAGAGGTGGATCAGACATTAAAAGTGCATGGTCTTCAGGAGCAATCTTGAGTTCATGCTGGAAAATGTGCCACCACAATGTTTCTGCTGCTTCCCAGTCTGTGATTATGCCATGTCTTAATGGAAAAATTATATCAATATCAGGTTCCAATCGGGCTTGCTCTCCAATGAATGTGTCTGGTACATCACTTCCAATCTTCAGGAATTGTTCTATGGGCTGTCCAACTAATGCCCCAATAACTACCTGTGGGGTCTGATGACCTGCAAATCCAGCTTTACATGTCCCTGTGCCAGTATCTATGACAATTGCTCTTGTCTCGACAAAGGAACACTCTTTATGTGGAGAATGTGACCTGCTCCTGGTAGGCTCTTCGTTTTTTGATGATGTCCAAGACTGAGATATCTGGTCCAAAGCATATACTGGGGAAGAGGTCTCTTTACTTGCATGGCTCAGCCTCACTGATTTCTCCGCTGGACTTTTTGATCCTGAGAATCCCACGTTTGTTTCTTGCAAAGGCTCTGGAGTGGTTGGTCTAGAACCACTGACTGACATTGTCAATAGAACTCAAATTACCTTCCACTAAATTACACTGTGATTTACAACATTTAAACCCCACCTTCTTTCTTCTACAGCATTAAAATGAAAGGCACTTCTTTCACTCAAGACACATAAAGGAGAACTATGACATCACGTTAGAATTTTCATCAGATGTTTCAGCTAGCCAAGTGTGACAGTATTGTTAACTCCTTATCTTTATGAAGACTTGAGAATGTTGGATAGGAAATGATGGATAATGAGCTACACTACAATTTGGAAAATGTATACGTGCAGGTAATGTCATGAATGACTTCATACAACATGGAAAATCACCCAATTCCATTTTTGCTCAATTTTGTTCAAATGGAACAGTGTGAATCCAGAAAACTGTATGAGACAATCAGAGTAGAATAGAATAGAATAACAGAGTTGGAAGGGACCTTGGAGGTCTTCTAGTCCAACCCCCTGCTTAGGCAGGAAACCCTACACTACTTCAGACCAATGGTTATCCAACATCTTCTTTAAAAATTCCAGTGTCTGACTCGGAAACAGAATTAGTTAAATACTGTATGATAAAGTGGGCTCAAAAGTTTGAAGAACCAATAATGTTGGACACATGGGAAAGATTTGGGTAAGAAATGTAAAATTTACACAAGCCCAAAATTTGAGAGAAAACTTCTATAAGATATTTTATAGATGGCATTTAGATCCTAAAAATTGGCTTCTATGTATCTGAATTTACAACCTAAATGCTGGAGATGTGATTGTGTGGATGTGTGTGTATATATATGTGTGTGTATATATATGTGTGTGTA